TATCATATCTAAACAAACATGTATGGGTAATTTGGGATAACTTACTTGAGATCAGCTGATTACATGCACCACACCCTTCTTCTCTTTTCAAAGTTCTTTTCTCTTTTCAAAATTCTTTTCCTTTTATCAAAGCTCATTTTTATAAAAATGATCATCTTTTGAAAATTTTCATACCAAGTCCTCAGTTTGAGTTCAGTCACACTTGAGAGTATGCCCGAATCCCCAAACCAAGGCTTTGATACCAACTTATAACATCCTAAAAATCATGACCAAAAATTCCTTTTAAAGCATTAATAAAACCATAAGTATCCAATCATACCAACCATAATTAAAGATAGATATATCAAATTAGAGTATCGTTTCAAAACATGTACTAATTATCAGAGTAAGAACATCCCACGCTAAAACTTTTTGGTGTGTGCCATGCGATCATCCCTAGCTCTTCCCTCCGCTATCGGAAGTACCTGAAACCAAAACTGAAAAGTGTAAGCACGGAGCTTAATGAGTTCCCCAACCTACCACATACCATACATATAGTCACATACTGGGCCTAGCCCGCTACATTGGGCCCCGCCTGGCATTAGGCCTTGCCTAGCATCAAGCCCGGCTCAGTATACAAATCTGTTTCTACCAAGCCTTGCTTGTCTTCAGGACCCGCCCACTACACACATATAACAATAACAGATAAACATGATAACATAATTACTATGTTACAAATGTTAGCCTCAAAACCCCGCCTATCTTGGGCCCTCGCCCTTATTCTGCTACTAATAAGATACGGAACCCCGTCCACTCTCAGCTAGTGATGAGATACGGGCCCCCGCCCACACTCATCCCCTTACCAGGCACATACAAGTATCACAAAGACAACAAGTATAGCTACACATACACTACTGCCTCGGGTACTACCCGACATCGAACCGTAGCTCGGAAACATACATATAAACCTTCCTCGGGTCTTACCCGACATTGGATCTAACTCTGGTATTCGCTAACATACATAAACGGGCCGACATTGGTGCCTTAGACCCGTTCCTACTAGGAAAAACTCACCTCACAAAGCTGACTGCAGAATCCTGCTAATAACCCCTCGCTACTAGCTGGCAGATCCCCAACTGCTGATCTATCGACTTCCCGAGCTATCAATGCCAAAGATATCACTTTAGTCCAAAACAATAATCCGCCTTAGGGTAAAATGGCTATTTTACCCCTAAAACCAACTTGGTCCGACTAAGGCTCAAATTCATAATATAAAAGGCCCAACACTAAATGGGCTTTCCAAACCCACCAGTGGCCCACTAATGGCCCAATTTGCTAAATTAGGCCTAATTCCTCTAATAGGCCTTACCTTAAGCCTAAAGCATATACTTGGCCCAAATTAGCTGACTTCTGATGGCCCACTAAGGTCCAAAGACCCAAAATCCACTGCATGGCCCAAACCGAGGCCCAAAACTCGTCTAGCCCAATCTGATGAGTACGTTGGGTGTACTCCTATGTACGCTAAGCGTACAAGCTAAGTGGTGCGTACGCTGGGCGTACCTGCACGTTGTAAGGACCCCATTTCTGGTATGTTATTTAATGTTTATTTTTCTAAGTATTCAAGAGGAAATCGACGAGTTTGTTGCCCGACTCGTCGAGTAGAGACAGGATTTCGAGCACGTGAAAGTGGGCGACTCGACGAGTCCATATCATTGACTCGGCGAGTCCGCCAGTCTGGAAGAAACCCTAGATCCACGAGTTTTGCACCCTATATAATCCCCCTTATGCGCCCAATCTGGCCTCCCTCACCCTCAGAACGTTTCATAGCAACACCTTAACCTATCTTGAGTGTTTTTGGGCATTTTTGTGTAAAGAGTAAAGATTGGAAGAGAAGAGGAAGGCTAGATCCAAAGGAGAAGAAGGGAATCAAGTTCTTGCATCCATTTCAGAGGCATTGGAGGTATTAATCGGACTCTTTCTATTCCTTGGTTGCTTCTCTTTAGAAATCTCATTTAGGTTACCTTTTTGCCCATTTATGAGCTTAATCTAGTAATGGAGCTTGTGTAGTGGTATAGCTTTCAGATCTAATCATATTTCTGTCCCAAAACCCAGATCTAATATCTTTATTGAACCTTGTTGCATATAAACCCTAGATCTAACTTTATTCATGCATTCTAAGCCTATAAACCTCTTTAGGATCCCAGATCTATCAGTTGGATGCGTTGGTTTTGAGCATAATCGTCTGAATCGTAATTGCATGCATGCGACTCGATGAGTCATTCTTCGGACTCGGCGAGTCGAGTCGCGAGTCCAAGACAGTCTTCATACCTCTAGATCAGACTCGACGAGTTGTTCATACAACTCAGCGAGTTACAGCCAGAGTGTTCATGCGTTGAAGGAGGACTCGACGAGTTGTTCATACAACTCAGCGAGTCAGATGCAGATTGACTGAGTGATAGCATTGAAGGGGAACTCGTCGAGTCTATGCCAAACTCGACGAGTAGTAGCGAACAGAAGCAAGGAAGTGAGGGTGAGGACTCGACGAGTTGGTGACCCAACTCGACGAGTCAGGTCAACTATATGTTGACTTTGACCAATAGGGTTGACTTTAACCAAGGGTAAAATAGTCATTTTACCCTCAATATAGTTATCAATATTTGATTCAGTGTGTTATGGAAATTGTAGCCAGGGAGATACCGGAGTAGCAGCAGACAGTTTCCAGAGCAGTTCATTCACCAGCCAATTTACGAGGTGAGTTTCCTTCCAGTAGGAACGGGTTTAAGGCCACAATGCCGGCCCGTTTAGCTAGTAGTAGTTTCCGGATTTTGGTCCGATGCAATTTTTAGTATGTTTGATGCCTTCGTGGCTCAGACAGGATTTATGTGTTATGTGTTCCGGGCTACGGCCTGATGCATATGCAATTTATGTGTTCATGCTAGTTGATATGTCATGCCATGCTATGTTATGCTTAGTTTCCGGACTTCGGTCCGATGCAGTTAGATCCGGACTTCGGTCCGATGCAGGGGATAAGGTCCCAGTCAGTTCCGGACTTCGGTCCGATGCAGTTTCCGGACTTTTCTCCAATGCAGATGGCAAGGCCTTGGTTAGTTCCGGACTTCGGTCCGATGTAGTGGGCAAAGCCCAGTATGTGTTATATGTATTTGTATGGTATGTGGTACTTTAGGGGAGCTCACTAAGCTTTGTGCTTACAGTTTCAGTTTTGGTTTCAGGTACTTCCGCAAGTAAAGGGAAGAGCTCGGGATGATGACATCGCACACACCACAGCTTCAGCTTCATTCCTGGGAGTTTTGTTCAGATACTTAGTTATGATTTGATATAGTTTTTGAGATGAGACTTTTATTATGACTTTTGAGATACCCGAGTATGGTTTTATTATATGACATTCAGTGTTATGACTTTTATTATTATTTAAAAACAAAATTTTTGGGTCGTATTTTTGGAATGTTTCACATGTACACTCATCATAATCCCCTGTTAGGTCACTTTCCCATTAAGTGATTAATACCCAACTCTAGAAGCTACAATCACAGATCTAAGTCCTCATTAATGTCTTAATCCAGAAAGTCGACTACTTGGTGGCTTGTAACCCACCAACAAAGCCCAAACTTGAAATGTAACAACATAATTCCATGGAAATGGCTCGATCTCAGACATGAACCCATTAAGACATTCAAGATTGAGACTTTACTGCTTACGGGACCCTTTTAGCTCTAAGGGTGGCAACCCTATGCTCAAACACGAGTTTTCATCATAAAGGTCCATTCTTGGGACCAAAACAACTCCAAAACCACACTACACTATATCTAATCATTCTTAAGTAAAGTTATGAACTTTATACCTCCCAAGAGTTCCAAATGATGATGCTATTCCAGATCTATAAGCTCCAACTTCCCAAGTTCTTCCTTGCCAACTTCCTCTTTTCTTCTTCTAAGCTTACACCACCAAAATGAGCTTCTTGAAGTCAAAATCACCCACGGATGAAAAGATGAGGCGTAGAGGCTAGGGTTTGAACCATTTATGTTCTTTATATAGTGACTTACCCTAAAAGTTAGGGTTTCTGGACACTGGATGTACACCAAAAACACCTGCAACCTTATGACCTTATACGTTGGGCGTACTAATGCGCTGGCCACCTTGCATGCACGGTCCTTTCTTGCCATCTTTCTCCCTTAAGGACCAATATTGCCAATAACTTCAAAGTGTTATAACTCCTTCGTTCCAAGTCCGTTTCCGACGAACTTTATATCCACGAAAAGGTGGTGAGAAGCCATACGCTTCTAGCGACACATCCCGACCCAAAAACCTCTCGAATAAAACTTCAAGACCCATAAAAGACCAAAACACCCCTAGCCTTGGCCTCTGAAATCCATAAACGAATATTTTCAAAACAGGGTGTTACACAAGCCTAACTCGATGCGACCCTCCGGTTAATGTGTCTCGGTGGAGACCCTCCGGTCCCACAACTCGGGCAGACCCTCCAGTCCTGACTCAGTAAGCTCATAATAACAATACTCAACATAAATCACCAAGACATAATGCAAAATATCAAAATACACAGGTAAGCACATAAAACATCTCGGTTACACAAAGATACCATTCATGGTAAATATAATGAGAAGACTCACCTCATAATCAAGTAAGAAATATATTCATATAGGAATCTCGAACTAACCCCGCCTAACACATAAAATAATAATTTCAAATCAACATTTAAATCACGACTGAGTTACTCTCTCTCTCAAACTCATGGAACGGATAAAAGACCATTTTTACCAATCTACTGTTAAGTGTCTAAATAGTGTTATGGGTAGGTTGGTCGAAGCTCTACTATCATCGAATAAGTGTTAAGTGTCTAAATAGTGTTATGGGTAGGTTGGTCGAAGCTCTACTATCATCGAATAAGTGGTATTTTTTTTGGCTTAAAATAAATAAGTAATTAGGGATTATGATATTATCAACTTCGATCGTGTTGAGATAGTTTTGTAGCATCTTCGTACAAAATGATCAGGCGCCTCCAATTTCATAGCCCGGTCACACGCATCTCCTCCGTCCACCACCGCCTATTTCACTCCACCACCAGCAACCCCTCCGACTATAATACACCATGTCCTCCATCACCAGTCACCACTCCCGATCCCTTAACACCAGTCAACCCATCACATCTCCTCCGCGTCTGCACCATCCTCTACCAACAACAAGACTCGCCGGAATCAAGACTCCACACCTCTCTCTCCCGCTGCGAATTTGACCTCACCCATGAATTCTTCCTTCAAATCTGCAACAAATTCCCCTACTCCTGGAAACCCGTATACAAGTTTCACAAATTCACCCAAACCCAAACCTTCAACCACACTCCCGTCACAGTAAACAAAATGCTTGACGTCGTCGGAAAATCCAGAAACATCGACCTTTTATGGGATCTGATCAATGAAATCGGGCATAGCCGTTTGGTTACAGATAAAACGTATAAGATAGCGATTAAAACGTTGGCGTCCGCGAGGGAGATGAAGAAATGTGTCGAGTTTTTTCACGTAATGAATGGATTCGGTTACGATTATAATCTAGGAACTCTGAACAGAGTGATTGAGACTTTATGTGGGTGTAAACTTGCTGAAGAAGCTAAACACATTGTTTTAAAATTGAAGGAATGGATTAAACCAGATGGGTTCACCTACAAGTGTTTGATTCGTGGGTTTTGTGACGTCGGTGATTTGGTTGAAGCTTCAAAGATATGGAATGTAATGGTGGATGAAGGTTTTGATGTGGATATCGATGGTGTCGAAAAGATGATGGAAACGCTTTTCAAAACAAATAGATTCGATGAAGCAATGAAGCTTTTTCAATCCATTGACGATTTAGGGCTTTCGACTTACAAGCTTGTGATTCATTGGATGTGTAAAAAGGGGAAGCTTGGTCACGCACGGAAGGTGTTCGATGAAATGCGTGAGAGAGGTATACAACCAGATTGTACAATACATGGTTCATTAATTTATGGGTTTTTAAGCAACGGTAGAATCCGTGAAGCTTATAACATTGCCGAATCAATTGAGAGACCCGATATAAGTGTTTACCATGGTTTAATCAAAGGACTCTTGAGATTAAAAAAGGCAAATGAAGCAACAAATGTGTTTAGGGAGATGATAAGGAGAGGGTGTGAGCCTACAATGCACACATATGTAATGCTATTGCAAGGGCATTTAGGTAAAAGAGGGCGAAAAGGAGATGACCCATTGATTAATTTTGACACGATTTTTGTTGGTGGGTTAGTTAAGGCTGGGAAGTCGTTGGAAGCTAGTAAATATGTTGAGAGAGTGATGAATCGAGGAGTTGAAGTGCCTAGATTTGATTATAATAAATTCTTGCATTATTATTCCAACGAAGAAGGTGTTGTTATGTTTGAGGTGATGTCGAAGAAATTAAGAGAAGTTGGTTTGTTTGATTTAGGTGACATATTTGAAAGATATGGTCAGAAAATGGCCACTAGGGAGAAACGAAGAGAAAGAGATAGATGAAATTCACAAACTGTAACATGATATAACCAACACTTGCATTTAATTTAACATTCACGTTTCTTACAAAACGTAGGTCTGATTACAAAAAAAAAAATTAAAGAAACATGGGGAAAGTTAAAAAAATCAAAACTTTGTGTAATCTACAGCTTACAATATCGTGATTGTTGCGTGGAATGTGAATGGTGTTGAATAAATAATAATTACCGGAGTTTGTTTTATACAGAATAAAAATTAAAAAAGTAAAACCTTATTTTTTCAGAAATGGCTTTTGACAAACGAGCAACCTTTGGTCGCTGCCATTTTCCACATCGATTACTCTTGCTTCCCATCGTATTTGTGTAGCAATTGTACGCGCGTCTTCAATAGGCCCCACTTTATCTAAGAGAACAACCCATCCCTGTGAAAAATATAAATGTTTATTTCATATCAGTTAAAATTGGGAGTTTGAAGGTAAAAAAAATAAAAAAATAACCTCAGGGCGTAGAATTCGGTCCATTTCCAGAAGTAAGTTTGTGGTGCTACATTTCTTTGATATAAGGTCTGAGAGGAGCCCATTTGCATGAAGCATGTCGTATGTTCGTGGATAAGTAGGAAAGGGTTCGCACCTATTTTCAATCACAAGGAAATTAAACAGGGGTAATTTAGTTAATTTCATTTGCTGAATTTTTGAAGTTTTTTTCATCCTTGTAATGGACGCTAGCGTCAACACTGTTGCATTCATTCCAGGGATGAAAAGGGTCACGGAAGATTCTTTGAGGGACAAAAAATGTAGAAAATTCAAGACAGGGATCATATGCGTAATTTTCAGCAAACCAAGTTCAGAACTGCAGTTTACTCACGTAGTCACATGGCGATGGGACTGGGAGTGATGATGGTTTTCTGATAATTTTATTTGATTTGTTTTTTTGCAAAAAACAAAGTGGTACTGGCACCTTTTTTTGTCCTTCAAATCACTATCATAACGGATCCAATATATGGTCTATTTTAAAATTCGTCCAATCTCAGAAAATGTATATACAAAATATCATAAAAAGTTATAAAAAAACACTTCGCTTTTTTTAGGGTTTTTTTTTTTTCTAAAATCTGTGACATTTCCTTATTTGGAAAAGAAATCATGCTAAATTGATTATTTTCAAGAGTCGAATGAAGCTAATTATATTTACCAGTCATGAAGAACGCCTGCGAAACCTTGATCGAGAATAAGAGGGAGTGAATTTTGAGCCCTAATTGGAACAACATTCATCACCCAAACTGATTTTCCCGCTTCCAAAAACGCAGCGTTTAAACCTCCGTAACGTGCGTTCATATCCATCACATTTCTAATCATGTTATAAGGAGGTAACGGATCTTCATCCCCTGGTCTTTTAGGATGATCGGAAAAAATTAACGGCGTGAGTAACGACCAGTAATTTCTCAAAGCTGATCTTGAAGATTCAAAGTCTTGATACAATTCATCCTGCTCAACACCTGCATAAACAAACATGGATCAATACTTGCTCAACACGTGTCAAGAATAAAAGTTACAGAAAAAAATACTCTCCATGAATCCGAAGCTCATCAGGGGTAATTTGGGAATTTGAAGATCTATTCTGGATGGGAATCCACCGTTTGCTGGATGTCCCTGTTACGCAAGATTCAAGTGGCTGATAATACGATTGAATATCAAAATCTTCATGTTCTTCGTTGCAAACAGGAATGGCGCCATGTGTGCTATGATATTTCAAACCAAATAAATGTCAATAAATCGTATATCGACAAATATGGAAAAGGGTAAATACGGAATTATAGGAAAAAAAAAGTCTCACTTAGATGAGTAGCATTGGGGATCGCTAGTTTTCTGCCAGATGAAAGTTTCTTCTTGCTGACCAATTAGTGTCCAACAGATTTTTTGTGTGAACTCTTCAATTGGGCTTCCTTTTTCCATATTTAATGAAGTTCTATGTAATACAAAGTATCCTCCAGGTTTTAGTATCCGATCAGCTTCAATAAGAAACATTCCATCTGATTCATGAAAACAGTAGTAGCACATTAAAAAAAAAAAATAATAATTTTCATAAATCATAATCTATAATCATGCCAGAAGTGATTTAATTTTAAACTACCTTTCTTGTCCCATAGAACACCACATTGTGCACAGTGGATCATGTCATATGACAAAGATGGAAATGGAAGTTTTCTTGAAATGAAGTTGCCAATAATTGCAGGAAGACCTCTTTCAAGAGATAACTGAACTTGACTACCAGTTAACTCATATGCAGCCATACAAACAGCCATTAGTTTTAATGATAATAAATGAGCCCCAAAGCTTCCAAAACCACAACCAATATCAAGCACTGTGTGCACCTGTTGATAACAACATTAGAAATTGCATTACATCATAAAAGGAAATTAAGATAAACTTATGAATTATCAATCATATGGTTAACAAACACTTACACCAGCTTGATGAAATTCTGCATCACTTCCTAATCCTATCATCTCTGCAACTTGTCTCGAATGATCTTTGACACCATCAAATAACAATCCATCATCTGAGTGAAAAGAAATTTGGTTCTCTTCAAGCAGCATTAACCTGTTAGAAGAAGATTAAGGAAAAGATGTGAATGAGGATTGAGGATTTGAGAATTTGGGTTAATCCTGATTGAAATTAAAGAATAATTACCTTTTTGTCATGCTTCCAGAAGAAAGAAACTGATCTTTGGTTATCTTCACATTTGCATTCCATATCACGTCTCTACCAACTGGCCAACTCAAGGGACTTTTATAGTCTCGTGGAGGACGAACCAAACAGTATGGTTGATCTTGTGACACTTCACAATGCCTATCAAACTCTTCTCCATCTTTAAATCCAGCTAACAGATTTGCAGACACATTATAGCAAGGAACATAGTCTTCTCTTTCCCTTCCACATAACCTAATCTCTTTCAGATCATTATTTTCAGATGCAAAGCTCTTTAACTCCAAAAATTCGCTTGTTTCTTGCTCCTTTAATCTTCTATAGTTTGTATAAACTTCTGGTTTTACACTAGTGGTGACAGAGTCAAAAGCACCAGAAGAAGATGAACCTAACAAAGCAATAAGCACAAAAACACTAACAAGACACAAGAGTAGCCAGTTTAATGGTGGTCTAGTGCCAGAAAATATGGAAAGCTTATTCAACAAAGGAATTCTCATATCCAGATTCTGCAACCAACTTAAAGTTCCGCCTTAAATTTCCACCAATTACGAAACCAGTAACCTATCATAACATAAAAGCTGCTGGAAATTCAACTGTAAAACAGCTAATTTCCAATGCTTATGGAAATTCCAGTGTCTTTGTTAATCGGTTGAAGATCACGACATCTAACTGCAAAATCGCATGCCAGAAAACCATCCAAATCGCAATAAAAAGGTAAATAGATCGAGCAACCAATCACGTTTGAGATTTCTTAAATTATCAATGAATTCCACCAGAAATATCTTCAGATCAACCTGCAATAAATCAGAAACAACAAAACAACAAAACAGAATTATGCAACTGGCATCAAAATTCGAGCTCAGTTCATACAATTTCGACGGATCTGATCCAATACAAACAAAAAAAAGGCAATCAATCAATAGAAATGAAACACGTCGCTCAATGTAAGTAACAGATAGTTTGCACATCAATCCCAAAATCTTTACAAGCATAATTGAGTAGCTACCGTATTAATTAGGGTTTTGGGCAATTACTCAGGGCGTTGAGGAGAATTGTATGCCTGGACTTTATCAGCTTTTGGAAGACAAAGGTCACTAACAGTTCTGATTCACAATTGACGAGTAGAGAGAGAAAGACAGAGCAGCTCTTTTTGAGAGAGAAACCCGCAATTACAGTTTATCGATTTTTTTTTTTTATCTAAATTTCCAGATTTATAGGTGCGTTAGTAAAAGGAATTAAAACACACAGATCTAGTCAAAGCAGAATTTATTGTTTTTATTTTTATTTTTATTTTTATTTTTATTTTTTATTTTTTATTTTTTGGGTTTTATTTGTGGTATAAGAGTGTGATTCAATTTTTTTTTTTTCAGACTAAGTAAAAAAATATATCAAACAGTTCGATAATAAAAAAAAGTATTGAACATTGAAAATAAAATATAAATTCGGGAGCTTCTTCTAATGATTAGTCTTCAAAGATAGTTTTTCTCAAGGTAATCATGAATCGATATATAAAAAATATATCAAACAGTTCGATAATAATAAATAAAAAAAAAGTATTGAAAATTGAAAATAAAATATAAATTCGGGAACTTCTTCTAATGATTAGTCTTCAAAGATAGTTTTCTCAAGGTGATATATATATATATATATATATATATATATATATATATATATATATATATATATATATATATATATATATATATATATATATATATATATATATATATAATACTTTTGGTATTCCTTTTAATCAATTCTACTTTTTTAGACGTATACCTTTTTTTTTCTATGAAAAATGACATGTTGATGTATTTTGATCTCAAAAAATAGTGATCAAGTAATTCTTTTTGTCGAATAATGGAGTCGGTGGGTAAAATGATTGGGGTATGAATTTCATTATAAGAATAAATATTTATATTACAAAAAGGAAATTTTGTTTTACTTGATAGTCCATGGATAAAAAGAAAAAAAGTATTTGCCTTTTGATTATTTTAGTGATGGGTTCAGTAATTTTAACATGGGGATCTACCACTATTCTATTTGTTGAATTTAATATTATATTATTTAACTATAAAATAATTAGATTTATACTGGAGTATAAATGTATAATCGACATCTGGTACTACATTGTTTCGGAATAACGGAATAACGGTAATAAGACATCTTTATAAAAGGAAATATTTATATTTGTCGACGACGAAGCATTAGTTTACTTTTTTCATAAGATAAATATCAAAATAACATGAAATGATTATTGGACTTTATTTTTCTTATCTGTTACGTCAACAAAAAGGATTTGTATATTACATCTTATTTTTCTTAAAGTTGTATAAAGTATGTTATTTTAATTGAATTATCCGATAGATGAACGAATTAATGTTAACATCGAAGAAATCGTTAAGTCAGTAAATATTGAAAAAATATAGTTTACAAATTAAAAAAAAAAAAAATTGTTGAGTAGTTATCAAATCTGATAGCTTATTTACCGGATGACAATTATTTAATTAATATGATGGTGGGTATTGTTTTTGGGTAAAAAACCATAGAAACATTTGTTAACAGAAATTATTTAAAAATACAAAAGTTGTTTTTTCTTAAAAAAATTAATAAAATGATGGGAATAATTGTTTCACGGCTTTTGCACCTTTTCTACTCTTTATTGGAGTTGGTGGCGGAGAGGATACTCATAATGTGTGTGTTTTTTATCAATACATTTTATTTTATATATAATTGAGTTGATTATATGGTATGTTTCTTGAAAGTAGTTATAACTTATAAGCATTAGTTAGAAATTGGTAGATGTGGTAGCTACAATCTTTAACCTCTAAATAGTATATCATTTATTCACATAAAATATTTGATAAAATAGTTATAAACTTTTAAAAAAATATAAAATAACATAAAACATAAAATCTAAAAAGCTCCTAAAAACTTTCAAAATTTAAAATTGAAGCTCGTACTTTCAAATAAATCTTATTTCTTTAATTCAACTTGATTTTGAAAAACAAAAAATCATTAAAAACTCATTGTCAAACATACCAATTATACGGTGATTACTAGTTATCAAAGAGTGTTATATCGAATAAAATTAACCGTTTATTAAATGATACTGAAGATATTAGTTGAATATATATACCGTACAGCTATATATATATATATATATATATATATATATATATATATATATATATATATATATATATATATATATATATATATATATATATATATATATATATATATATATATATATATGGAAAAGTGAATATACCCTTAGGGGTATATAACTTAGGTACCCAAATTCACTATACTATATCGTTTTGTATCATATATATTCATTGTAGTTGTCCAATGTTCTTATAATTCAACTTTTAACTTGATTTACTTCCAAGATTTTTATCAATTTCACATTTATATTCCTTTTACATAATTTTCATTTTCAACTATACTATATATAGCCTAGTAGGTGTTCGGAAAAAAGATGTGATGTAAGAGGAAGATAATAATGAAATTTCGAAAATTTTGAAAGTAAATCAAGTCAAGGGTTGAAGTTTAAGAACATTATAATGAATATATTAAACAAAATGACGTATTATAATGAGTTTGGTACCTAAGCTTACATACCCTTAAGGGTATATTCACTTTTCCCATATATATATATATATATATATATATATATATATATATATATATATATATATATATATATATATATATATAATAAAAGACAAATTTAATTTAATTTTTATGGCAATATTAGATATATTTATACACGTGTTCGTTGACAACTAAACATCAGCTCTAATACCATATTTAAGAAGTGTGATTTAGTTATGTTTAGAGCTTGTATATAAACAGATTATAATGATGAAATTAAATAATGAGAGAAATAATTTCATCTTTCTGTGAACTCAAATATGGTATCAGAGTTGATGCTCTCGTCTGTGTCACACTCTGTTCTTCCAATTCATTTGATTTCATGACCATTTGATCTTTCCGCATCTAGATCATTTGATTTTTTGTTTCGATTGATTTTTTTCTTCAATCTTCATGTTTACATTTCATTGATTTTCATTCTTTGATTTTCATTTGGTTGAATCTCTGTTTTTTTTTCTTCGATCATGTCTGGAGAATATGTTCATCCGACTCAAACTAGCAATAATATGGATCAAAATTCTGCAAATGATCCATATTATTTGCATCATTCTGACAATCGAGGATTAGTTCTTGTCTCACAAGTTCTCACCGGCAACAATTATGCTTCGTGGCTTCTCAATTCCATTTCCAAAGAGATATCGACTTCTGTGATCTATCTCAATACAGCTGAAGCAATCTGGAAGGAACTCAAGGAAATATTCCAACAAAGACAAATTTAATTTATTTTTTATGGCAATATATCTTAAAAGATTCCTTATTCTTCAAAATATCCACATATTTTGTAAGGACGATTGTGTAATTCTCTAGTTTTGCATGAAAATGTTTAAACAAAAAGCTAAGAATGTGTTTGATTGTGAAAAATTTTCTAGCTTTGCATGAAAATTTTTAAATGAAAATAAAATTTTTGAAAACGTGTTTAGCTGATTTAGTTTTCAAAAAATTTCCAAGAAAATGAATTTTTTATGTTTTCAAAATTGTATGTAAATTAGAAAAATGATTTTTACAAAATTTTAAAGTATTCAAAATTTCAAAGTTGAAAAATGAAAACTCCACCGGTTCTAACCAAAAGCGTTTTCTAAAATTTTCATTGAAAACTGATAATGAAAACTCAATTCTATTATCTGAAAACATTTTGTTGGAAAATGAAAACAAATTTCTACAACCAAACGCACCTTAATGGTAGTTTTCCAATTTTCTATAAAAATTTTCCAAGAAAAAGGGAAATTTTGAAAACGATTTTGGTTCGTTTAGTTTTCTAAAGTTTTCTAAGAAAATAAAATTTTACAGTTTTTTAAGTTGTATGTAAATTAGAAAAAACAAGTTTTATAGTTTTTCTAAGTTTTCCAAATTTCTAAGATGGAAATGAAAACTCCACCGTTTCCAACCAAACACATTTTCTAATATTTTCGTTGAAAATCGAAAATGAAAACTCAACTCTATTTTCTGAAAACATTTTCTTAGAAAATGAAAATAGTTTTCCACGACCAAACGCACCTTACAGTTTTGTATCTTTTAGGTTTCACATTTGAGTTAGTTTGAAATTCTTAATTGAAAAAAAAAATGTCATTTTGTCCCTGTTACTTTTTATAGTAGCCACTACCAAATTGGTTTTGTGCCTATTTATACGTGTTGTTTCTATAGTTTTAAATGTAAAATACTTGAGATTTCTTTAATTGGGATGAAATTTCATGTGTCTATTTGGAAGATCAAATATCCATATTCATTTGTATATATAGTTTCAATGTAGAATATACAATTATGTTCTTGTCTGAGTTGTCATTCAATCAAGTGCTACCATCCGATCAAGAAAAAAATGATGCGTGTGTGTGGGTTTTAGGCCATTGACCCAAAACATTTTATCTTAGAGAGTGTTTCGTGAGTCGGTGTACCTATGTCTTAATGTTTAGATGTCCTGCAAGATGATAGAAAAACTAAGAAACAACTTAATGGTTAAGCTATATCGACATTGCCATCAAACAAAGAAGAAGTGACATGCAACTAAAAGATGGCATGAGGGACAAGAAACAACTTGATCGTTCTAATTAGAGTAGATAATGATTTAGGTTTGGTAGATAAAAGATATGGGGTGCAAGATCCAAAGATCCCAACAAAAATGTATATTTTTGTTCGATGACAATTTAGATGAAAGTAGATACTCGTTTCCTAGGTATTTGAAAAAGGTGTTAGATTGTTATGGAATATATGACCGTTGTATTCAATAAATAGGATGTTTTTCATGAGTTATTTGATCAATCCAAATGGTGAAAAATTAAAAGAGTTTATTGTTTTACTTTTTATATAAATAAGAAGTTGTTAAGGTTTCGGTTAGCAACAAACTCTTCATAGTTAGTGGTAGTAAAGAATGCCACTATTTGTGGTCTTTAGGGGTAACTTATCTCGACTTCAACACACGTGAAAGATGATTGTTGATTTGTTGTGGCTTCCATGTCCCTTTTTGACGAATTCCAGAAGCGGGCGTGAATATATATATATATATATATATATATATATATATATATATATATATATATATATATATGGGTTAAGT